TAGTAGTAGTACTAGTACTGGTACTGGTAGTGGTAGTGGTAGTGGTAGTGGTAGTGGTAGTCGTAGCAGCAGCAGCAGCCGCAGCAGCAGCCGCAGCCGTAGTCGTAGCAGTAGCAGTAGCAGCAGCAGGAGCAGGAGCAGCAGCAGGCGCAGCAGCAGCAGCAGCAGCAGCAGCAGCAGCAGCAGTAGCAGTGGCAGTGGCAGTGGCAGTAGCAGCAGCGGCAGGAGCAGCAGCAGCTGCAGCAGCAGCAGCAGTTGTTGTTGTTGTTGTTGCTACTGCTGCAATTGAACCCAACGAGGCACTCCTTTGCCTAAAGCTTGGCCGGCAGCAGCAGCCCCAGGACTTTTGGGTTTGGGTTTGTATAGATTAGGGTTTCGGGGTGTTAAGATCTCCTTGCATTTGGGGTTTCAATGGTGTGTAAAGGGTTCACGGTAAGGTCCTGGCGCAGGAGGCATTCTTAGTCGTGTCTTGATCTTTGTTAGAACTTCAGGGCATAGGTTGTTAGGACCTTGGGCTGTGGACCCTACGAGCCGTGGCTTGATCTGAACCTATGGCCTACAACGTCCTTCGCCTTTTCGCCTACATCTAGGAGAGGCACGAAGCAGGGTCTGTGTTTTGTTTTGGTGTGTTTTGGAGTTGAACGTTCGAGGGTCTGTGATTTGCTAAGCGCAGGCTTTCAGATTGGATTCTTTTGTACTACGTGTTGCAACCATCCAGGGTGCCTGCATGGTGATACTGGCCTTTTTGCAGTTTGTGGCCCTTGTTCAACCAGAGTCTCAGTCTCAACTGCCTTCAAGAAAAAGGCTGTGGTGGCTGGGGTTGTGATGAGGTTGCTCAGTCACTTTCTAGCACAGTTTTGATCGAATTTTTTCCAGCCTTCACGATAAACTGCCTCAGACGACTGAACAGCCATGAGTACTACTGGCATCAGCCCCATGTCTGTGCTCGTGGTGGAACGTTGTTGAACTATGTGCCCTGACGAAGCGAAGGGGTTATGGCTATGGTTCTTCATAAGCCTTTAAGACATTGAGAAACGAGAGGGGGACGTCTACGGGTTGTGACAGTACATTTTCCTTATTATTATTTAGCCAAGGGCAGCCGCTTTCAGGGACTACAAAACCATAACCTCGAAAGGCTTTAGGCGGGAGGAGCCCGTAGGTCTCGCGTGGTTGAGTCCGCCTTCGTCATGAGCGCCACCCTGCTGGCCTTCGTCCTAGGCAAAGCCCTCGATAGTGTGCGTGGGGTTTGGGACTTCAGCTCCGGGGAGACCTTGAGAGGCCAGCTTGCCGGCATACACCCAACGCCCCGTGCTGAAAAAGGGCCCCGGAGCTTCAGGAAAAAGGTCACGTTCAAAATGGTTGTTTTCAGCTTCGTGCAAGGATATTCCGGCCGTCGTGCTTTTCAGGGGACATTCCTGAATCAGGTTTCATTGCACTGGCCCCGAAGACAAGTCCATGGTCAAAATCGTGCACAGGTCCCGCCTTGCTTCGTTTTAAACCTTAAGAACCCTAAGCGGAGTGCAGGACCCAGCCTAGGAAATTAGGACCCGGGTGGACCCAGCTGGAACCTGGGAAGGACCCAGTCGGACCCAGCTGGACCCAGACAGGACCCAGGTGAGATCTAGGTGGGACCCAGACCCAGGGCCGCAGGCAAAGTGATTCCAAACTCTCTACAGTGCTGGTGCAAGACCACGATTTTAACGACACTGGTGCAGACGGCATTTTCCGTGCAGCAACAGACGGCTTTTCATATTGCACCGACACCAGACCCGTCTTCAGATACTACCATGCAGGAGCCAAAAGTCACAGAATCAATGTTAAAACCTACAGCGACCCATGCCAGACACCCGCCAGACCCACATAAACCCCACCACCGAGTCGTCCCGAGCCTTTCCCAATCCCGCACAATTTGCAAGGGCTTGAATCGAAGCAAAGCCCATTCGTTTTCGGGAATGCAGTGCCGCTATACACTGGAAGAAGGTCTAGTCGGCAAAAAACCAACAGTATATGCACGCAGACGGCTAATCCTATAGCATGAGTATTGCCCTTACACTGCCTTGCAAGAAGGCACTGGTGTTGAAGCCGCATTTTGTTCTCACTTGGTGCCACTCAATGCTGTAACTACCCTGACAGTAGTGCTTCTGCAGTTAGCAACCCCCTCCAACAGACAGACCGACAGAGACATATATGCATACATTTCAACAATATATACATGTATGCATCTAAGTTGAAGTAACACGCTGTTTACAGTACAAAGTAGGTAGTTACACGTATGTAGTTGACTGCTGGACCCAATGAGGTATCACCCGACTATTTGGCTCAAGGCTCAAG